CCTTCTCCACACTGCTACCTGCACTCTGTCCCTTATTCTAACGCGATTCAATATGGCCCCCAACATCAATCTCTTCTTATTTTTGACACGTTATTCGGAATTATGCTAAATAGACCCCAAAGGTGTTAACTATTAAATATCCCGCGTTCATTGACGATAGTTAACGCGATAGTTGACACGATAGCTAAATTTCTTGACTCACGGAGACAACTTTCGACTGCTCCGTTTTCGCTCAACGAGAACGGCGTCTTGGTTGATTGGTTGATTGGACGATCAGTGATGCCACTAATAGAAGCTTTAGCAGACTTATTCTAATTTTAACTGCTCAGGACCGGTTTGAGTTCTATTGTGTCGCCAACCTTGGTTCTTGAGCGAATGGATTAAAAAGAATCGTGGAATTCGGAATTCGCATCTAAAATGTGAACTTCCTCTAAGCCGATCTGACCACGATGACTCCACATTCGAAAACGAGCGATGTCTTTCCTTGTTACTATGCCAACAACCTGTAACAGAGAGCGCTACGTCAGACAAGAATAAGATATTGGGAAGCGTCAGGCTTTAATTCTGAAAGTGTCGACCGTCGATCGAACACCTCCTGGGAAAGATCTGTGACTTATTTACCAAAATTTTCTTTATGCAACAGCAATAAAACATTAACAAGGTTAAAAAACTAACCGCGAGTGCAGAGAGCAGCTATTACACGCAATCAGCCCAGAGTGCATTGCGCACTATTCGAAATGGCAGCCGCAGGAAATTCGAAGTGGTTGTAAGACCCTCTTTAGCAAAACGATAAAAAAATCAGATCGCTTGGTAAGGCAATTTTTTTTTATGCCAGAACTATTGAGAAGTACACTTGGAACATTTTGAGGGCTATTTGTTTCCACACCTTACCACATGTGCTTTCAACTTATTAGAACTGACAAGCTTTGTTCGAAATATACCAAACGAGTCATGCCGGTTAGTTGTATAATCACTTCACGAATGACTTAGAGGAACTCGCTCTAATGAGCGTAAGAATCAAGGCTGAGTTAAAAGTGACAAATTCACGACCCTGACGTTTAGCTCGTTTCCAGACTCTACTCACCTCATTGTTTTCATTTACCACAACAATATGCCTGAGTCCCAGAGCTCTGAATAACTTGAAAGCGCGCGAGAGGGAAGCATTCTGGAAGAAAAGAACAAGGGTGGCATGAGGCCTTTTAACATCGGCCTTAGACAGTGAATTTTCTGAAAACTGCGAAAGTACTTAGGAAAGTACAGCTCACCTCATGTACCGTGTAGGGGCTTGGGTTCATAAACGGTCTAAGATCCATGTAGCATTCTCTTTCTTTCTGTGATATACTAACATTCTGTAAGAAGAAGCAATTGCGCATCAATAGATCAAGCACAACTGAGGAGAAATGAGATTACATTAAGTATTTAAGACGTCTTTCATCAGTGATCCCTCGAACCACTCTGCCTATGACATCGATACGCGAAGATACAAAAGCCAAGTCAAAACAAAAACAAACAAAACTACAGAAATAAAAAGAAATCCTCCACTTTATGTAAACAGCTTGGCTTAATCCAAGTCGCTAACACAATGGGCTCGTGAAGCGTCATGGTCCATAAGCTTGTCAGTGCTCCGAGTTAAGCGTGTGCGTCGGAAGAGAGATAAATTCAACATCTTCAATTGAACGGATCAGACTCACCCGGATGGGAGGAAATCGCGGATAAGCGTCCCTGAAATCCTGCAACATCAAACTATGTTTTTTTCCTTGGCGACTACTCTCAGAGAATATCTAAAAGGAGGAAAATCACCTGAATGAGATGAAGTCTTTTAAAGATGACCTTCCTCTACAAAAATTAATTCATATCTAGGATCCCTGATTTTATGTCCCTCTTTACAAATATGTGCTTCATTTTCTCACCTTTTGTTTCAGAAGAATAATAAGCTGGGATCTTAATATCAGGCCGCGGAAAGTCCCGAATGGGGCCGTGTCTCTGTATGAATTACTGGATTCCTAAAACGAAAGAACAAAGCGATAGAAAAAGCGTCTTCTACATGAATAATGAACAAAGTATAAAAACAGCTGAAACAAGCATACCTCCCCTTCTGTCGTTTCAAGGAAATCGATAATAGGAAACCCATTGTGGTGAGAGCTTGTGTCTTTCAAAACGTCAACAATTCGTCCGACCTGACAAAAAGAAAAAGGGTTCAGGGGGAGCTCTAAAAATTACCGCGGAGAAGGCTAAGACGCTAACTATGAAAAATCTTTCTTGAGGTTTATATGAAATCGTGGTGGTTACCTCGAAAACATTTACTGCATATACGATTTTGCTTGCAAAGGTGAAGTCGTTCCATGAACCCCTATCTGAGAGGGGCTTGACAAAAGGAGAGAAAATTTCTCCGGCCAAGTTTCACGATTAAGACGAACTTTCACTTGTATAAATTATTCCACAATGAGCACAAACTAAAACCACTATTGTCTCTGTGGGAGGAAGTCAAAGAGACTGGGAAATGATTCGGGAAGAAGGACGATAGTTGAATATGTTTCGCACGTAGGATGTAAATCCAAGATAAAACGGTGAACCATGGAGTAATATTCGAACTTACCTTCTCTACAGATTTAAAGCAAACCACATTTTGGCTCATGATATCACTGAAGAGGAAATCAAACGAACACAACTTAAATAGACCAAAACAAAGTTCAATTTCAAAAGTTTTCGCGTGTCCCGAGAAAAGTTGAGCGATTGAGCGGTTTGAAGGATTTTTTAATTACCATTGCCAGCCCCGACCACTGGCGCGTGGTCGTTATGTACTTTCGGGATTGCTGAATAGCGCAATATCTTATCTGTACTTTGGAAGGTTTAGATCTCTCGGATGAGGTGAAGTGCAAGTCGTGACAGACTCTTACCGGTGCGGTAACCAATGAGAGAGCGGGATGCTTATACTACGTGACGTTCTTGGATGCCTCAACCAATCGAATCATCTACTCTCCTTGGAAGCCATATGGTATTTCAATCCAGCAATCTAATTGGTCGAGAACCCCATATCTAGTCACGTGGTACAATTATCCTGCTACCCCAGTACAGGGCTCAACACTAACTCTTCAACTTACAAGCCAAAGCTGAATTTCTACTAGTCTGTGGCTAGTGGGCTACCGTTAATGTCGAGCCCTGCAGTAGCTACTACACCGGCATCACTAGAACGTTCCTCAGTTCAAGCTTACCAGACATTTAATCCGACAGCCATCGAGGGCGCTTCCCAGCCAAGTAATGGGACACCTTGTAACTTGATATGGATGTCATATAAACCCTGGACAGGAGAGGACGCGAACTTTCAGCACATTTTCAGTAACACAATAGTTACCGCAATAAGATAACGTACCTCAACTTCTATTGTTACTTATTGCAGTTTACCTCTAGGCTGGATAAAATGCCATTCCCTCAGATCGCAAGTAACCTTCCCCTCGGCATGTGGTCATGGTTAAAGCTAAAGCTCACAGAGATCAGTGTCAGAGCTCGAGCCCAGAGCCACTCTGCTTACATCTTGAATTTTGTGAGGGAGGGTGGGGGTTCTGAGGACTTACTGCTGGTTTTCACTCACCTCGTTGAAAAAATCACCAACCCATTTAGCGATCATAAGAACGATCATAATGGGAATACCAAAACTTATGTTTCCAGTTGCCTCCATTAAAATAACAGTGAGACTGATGGTCATCCTGACAACACCGCCTAAAAGAAAAACAAGAGAAACACATCAACCTTTATCTCTCAACATATTAGTTTACTAGTTTGTATATATCTTATTAACCAAGCGCGAGGGCCCTACTGGGAGAATATCGGCCCGAAGTCTTGACAGTACGGACCGAGCGCTGCGAGGTCCGTACAAAAAAGACCGAGGGCCGATGTTCTTCCAATACGGTCCCGAGCAAGCTTGGTTAATAAGAGATTTATTATACGACTGAAGTTCAAAGGGACACAAGTGCGGTATCATTCGGGATCATTCGGGACAGTGCGGGACCATTCGGGACAGTGCCCGGTCCAATACTTAGAGAATATTGGACCGGCAATAGAGCATTTTGATAGGTTGATTTAAGTTATTGGCCCTCTGACTGCCCGGGTCGTGTAATAAAATAACTTACTGACCGCGAGGGAGAAGTGAGGCACCTTGAAGGGAAAGCACACCCTGCAAGAGAAACTACGGCAGTGACATGTAACTTTGAAAAATTTGAGACGTTGTTTGGGTTCATAAGCATCGTTCACTCAAAAATCTCAATTCGCAATTTCGTTGCTGGGAGAAGTGCACGTGGATGCATACCTTTAACAAGAGATTCCCCCATTAACTATGATTGGCTTGCGAGAATCAGTTTTGGCGTCGTTATGAAAAGCAAGTTACTTTGAGTACGTCCACAATCACACTTTGTTCGGCCACGTTGCAGAGGTAAATCACTGGATGAATAAGTCAGTCAGTAAGTCTGTCTTTTGTCAGTCAATAGGCCAGTTCAACTCACAGTGATTCAAGCAGTCAATAATAAAGCCAGTCAGCCAGTCAGCCAGTCAGTCATTCAATCAATCAATCAGCCAGACAGTCACTCAAACCCTACTTCATAAAGCGACCTTAATTATGTTCTTACCAAGTGTAGCAGCAGCTCCTATGAGTGCATAGCTTCCCGCATGGCCCCAGTTCCCTTTCGGAAACCATATCCTCAACGCCACTCCCCAAAGCCGTCCCCAGGCTGCTCCGGTCAGAATACAAGGCACGAAAAGACCACTGGGAACGAACAAACCATAAGTCCATGTGGCCAGCAAGAAGTAGACTGGAGCAAACCCTGCTAGCGTCCCCACATCATATGAAGCTGAAAAGAAAAATTTCACGAAGCTACCTCGTAAGTGATGAATCAATTGTGAATAAGTTGCCACAAAAGCAGCAAACGTGTGCTGTACTATGTCCAAAATGAGAAAAATTAACACCCCTCAATACAATAGGCCATTTTACAGTTGTGTACTTAGTTGCCAAGCCTTTGATTCAGAGTGAGGCTAAAGGTGACCCATAGCCTCACTCCCGTTCAAAGGCTTGGCAACCAAGCACACAGCTGTAAAATGGACTATTGCCTGACAGTGAAGAGTTCCTCAAGATAATTCAATTGATGAAATGAATAATTTTATAAAGCTATAAGTGCTTGTCAAAGTATGGGTACCTCCATTAAAAAAAAAAAAAAAGTATGGGTACCTCCCGGCCCCTTGGTAAATGACGAGAAAAGTACATCTCACAATATAATAACAATGACTACGCCATCCATTACCTTTCAGATGATTTCTCTTCTTGTAACTTAAATTTACACCGTCCTTTACCTTTAACGAAATTGTATGTCTGCATTCCTTTGTTTAGTATCGTTTTGGAAAAACAAGCGTGCACTGAAAGTAATACTCACAACTCATTCTGAGTTTCTACACGTTTGCTACAAAAGCTTGGCTTACCAACTGAGCTACCTAACTCCAATCAACTTGAACTTCTTAGAATCCGTGTATTTCACAACTATATCCCAGTATATTATGCGTAAAACATTCTGACAAAAACGTTTCTTACATTCTTGCAAGTGGAAAAGATTTCTGATGGACTCCTCTGGTGTATTGAATACTAACGTCCCCATAGAACTGTACTGACCATCTTGGCAGAAAAACTAATAATTGAAAAAGATCATAACTGAAAGGTCACCAAGAATTACAAATACTTGTGTTATACTGTGTTTGGCTCATCCAGTGCCTGTCTTAGATCAATAAACAAGGGCATAAACCAGAAAAAATGAAGAAAAAAAGTGTAATAAAGCACATTTCAGCAAAACTTATGTTAAAGAGAATAAAAGAAAATGATTGCCATCTGAAAAAGCTTTTGATCATTAAACAAATTCTCTCCATCAGTAAAAAAGGAAATGTGTAGAGAACAGTATTGAGAATATGCATATTGATGTTAGGGTAAAGGGTTGAATGGGGGATACACACCTGTAATGGTCTGGTGATATTTGCTGTTCCTATTGGTTTGCAGTCATCATAGAAGTAGATCAACACAAAAGCTGATGTTGTACTCATCACAGAAACTATCACTGCTTCGACTACACGAACCCAGTCCTTTCTCACGTACCTGGAAATAAAATTGGGTGAAGTATTTAGTTACCAGTATAATACTTCTCTCATCAAATAGCTCTCTTTACTAGAAATCTGAAATCAAAGCTAAAGGCTAGTATGGCTACAGCATATCCTGGTTTTGTTAGTAACAGTTAAATAAGTAGTATTTCTACTGGCTCTAAATGAATTGCTGCTCCATTGCAGGCGGCTTCAAGGAATTTGTCAAGTTTTTACTGATACCCTCTTTACTGATACCCAAAAACACTGTGAGAGTATGTGTTTCATCCATGAACACAACCAAACAATCACTCAGGGTTCAAACTACACCTTTTAAACAGGCTTTTGTACCTGGGAGACAACAAACCTTATAAATGAAGGGGGTAAGTTGCTCTTAATAGAAACTGTGGTACTGCATGTGTTGACTTAGGGATATTACGAGATAATTTGGTTTTATCAACTGAATCGAGAATATAAATTGTCCTCCATAAAGAGCTTCTAAATCTGACATTTTGAGGGTTAGCCTTTCATCATTCATCATTTTCACTGACCATTTGGAGTTCACACTCAAAATGTCACCTTTAGAAACTTGTAAAAACTCTTGGTTTGATAGTAATACAGAAAGTTTCTTTTGAGGCGAGTAAGTAACTCATCACACAATGAGAGATGCTTAATATAAACCAGTTACTCAAGCTTACAATTGTTTATGTTAATTATGCAAAAAAACAAAAAGATTAACCCTTTAACTGCCAAGAACTGATTTTTGATTCTCTCCTCTAGCTGCTACACATTTCCTTGCAAATTATTTACAAGGATTTGGTGTTAGATCAAGATAAAAACGTCTACCTTATGAGCTTGGGTATTCTCATCACCTGTTTGCGGGATAATGTATGGATAATATAGGGAGAAGTCACATGTTAATCACTTCTGGGAGTTAAAGGTTTGAGAGGATAGTCAAACATTGTACCTCATTCTGAATATGTGCAAATGATGGTTGATTGCATTGAAAAGAGCCCCCAGCAAGCCTCCTGAAATATGATTACAAATTGAAAATACTAGCAAAGAAATAAATTAAAGAGCTCATGCTTTGGCAACCATGAGAGGTCCCTCCCCTTTTCCCTCTACTGCACAGCTCAAGGGGTAGGAAGTCTTGGTGAGGGGGGGGGGAAAGTGCATGAAACTCAGGTTACCACTTTCAATCTTATTAAATTTCAAAACAATATCTTAACGAGATTCTTTTTCAATCTGTGCCTCCTTCTTGAGGCTTGTTAATCATTTTTACCCATGAAGTAGACCAAAAAGGCTAAAATCTTGACTTGTAATTACACCATAAAATATTTCACTTGTCAAAAATCAAACAAGCTTCTTAGGTATTTGAGATTTTGTAGATAATTAATACAAAATAAAAATTCTCACCAACTATTGCCATCAAACAAAACAAAGGTATCTCATAGCTCTGGTATGTCTGACCCTGGAAACATTCAATAAGTAGTGGTATAACATTTTAGAACTTTAAATAGGCCTCCATGAAAGTATGCCTGAATACTAATCAGTTTGTGAGGGAAAAGCAAGGCTATATACCAAAACGATCATAGACATCTCCTGCCTAAAGGTACTTAGTAATACAACCTTCTACTGGTGAAGTTTATTTTAGTTTCTCTTCACAAAAAAACAGTGTTAATACAGCCCTTCTAATTAAGAGCTATTGGTAAAGGATTAAGGATTTCTCATTGGTGGTCTGTGTGGGAAGAAAAACTGTAGAACAAGCTTAAGTTCAGCCTGTGTTTGGGCATCAAGTAGCTAGCTGCAGCATGACATACATTTTTAAATAATTGTATAAATTTTATAATTGAATAAAAATATCATAAGTGCATCATTCTTGCTGGTGAAATTGCTACATCTTAAAAGATTTCAAAAGCGATTGCTGTACATTGGGGACTAAATTTTATTTCTAGCCTCCATTTTCTGATTTTCAGTTGCAAAATCCTTTATGATAACTTTGAAAAATCTCTAATGAGCTCAAAGCAAAAAATACAATTACAGTTTTTTTTTTTCTAATTTGTGGAACTGTGGAAACCTACCTGAAATGAACCAAAATTGATAAGTCCAGGATTTGAAAGATCCATTGGGGTGCCATGATAAATAGATAACAAGACATTGAGAGTAAAAGTGGAAACCATGGATGCAAAAAACATTCTCCATGTAAGACTCTGGTTCCAAAAGCTTGCTCCTTCTTCTAAACTAAAAAGCACACCACCTAAACAGGAAGGAGGCAGGGGCTGTTAAAAGTCAAAAGATTTACAGATAATCTTGTCATTGGGTCTTGGCAAGAAATAAATTTCATTCATTTGCCTACCAACAGGAGCTCCAAAGGCTGCTGACACACCAGCAGCAGCACCACCAGAAACAAAATCTCTTTTCTCGTGATCTTCACGAAAATACTGAAACAATTTTAAGTCTTTGTTGAAGGTTGTGGATCTTCCTTGTGAAACTCCTGCTGCTACCACAGCTCCAGAATGAATCATGGGACCTTCTTTACCACAGGCCAGGCCGCCTGCCACTGAAAATACAACTCCAACTGTTTTGCAGAACAAGGTCTGGGAAGAGAATGCATTTTTTTTAAATTAAAAAAAAGGGACTCAGACAGGTAATCATGGGTCAATGGGTACCCAATCAATAACAGGAACAGATGAAAACAAGGAAGTATGTCTCCTAAATGAAAAAATAATGAAAAATATGAAATTTTAGCAATTACAGCACTCCTAATTAAAACTAATGTTAATGATCCAATGGTATGTCTAATGTTAAAGTAATAACTACTTCAATATAATTATAGTTATCATAATAGTACAAACTAAGCAAGCTAAGAGTTTACTAGAATGCCACAAAAGTCAGGAGTCTCATCCAGCTAAAAATTCTTGACATTCAAATTACATGAATTGATCATGACTGACTGTATGAGAACAGAATAGTTCTCCGACAAAAGAAAGAACACCTTGAACTCTGTCAAAAATGATTACAGGTCCCTAATGACCTTCTCCAGTTATGACAAAAGTGCTGATCCTCTTTTTGAGCAACTTAACTGGAGACAGTTAGATACTCAGCAACAAATACAAGTGGCCACCATGGTCTATAAATCTATACATGGTCTTGCGCCCGACTATCTTGGTTCTCTTTTCACTAAATATGATTCTCCTTATAATCTTAGGAACTCTGAAAACAAACTAGCTGTTCCATTGCCCCGCACCAATTTCCTGAAAAATAGCTTTAGCTATAATGGTGCGGCTATCTGGAATAGCTTGTCCCCTGAATTGCGGCAAGCAAAATCACTTCAATCTTTTCGAAATGGTTGTCGCGATTTCTTCGTCTGAATCGACAAAACGCACACGGCATCTATGTAAAGCAGAATTTCTTTATTTTTTCTATTTCACTTTTAAATTTTAGATCATGTTTATATAGATTAAAGTAGATTGTAATTGTAATAACAGATTGTAATAATATTATATATTTATCTGATAGATTTACCGTGTCTAAATAAAAATAAAGTTCAAGTTTAATTATGTACCTTTATCCTTGTCAAAATGACCACAAGTCACTGATTATTTACCTTTATCCTAACAACATGAGGTACCAACACCCCATTGAGGTAACATTTGATCTGTGGAATACCACTTCCTGCTGCCACAGGCTACAAATTTAAAGTATTTTTAATTATTCATTATATTTTCATAAGGAACAGAGAGGGAAAATGTCTTAATCAATAAAAATGTAATTTATTAATAAATCAAGTGTATCTCATGATTTGTCAAGAGGACAGGCGATAAAAAAATAAAAATCATTGGTTGGAAAAAATATAAAAAACATTAATATTAAATGGCTGTTTCATTAATTTGTTTATTGCATTGACTTCTCTACCAAAAGACACCTCATTTATCCCTTTTACAGTAAGAGACCATAATTAAGTAATATCACTTAACCCAATAAAATCTTAATAAAAACTAAGTCATCAGTTGCAACATAAATCTCTGTCAGTAATCTGATGTTACAATTAAAATAAATCTAAGCAAAGAAATTTCAGAAATTACCTCTCCATAGACAACTAAGCAAGCTGCAATGCAAACCAAAAAGGCATCTGAAGCAACCCATAATGAGTAAGGAATTGACATGCAATTTCCACTGGTGCATTTGTCAATATCTACCACAAAGTCAAGAATTATTTAACACAGTCAGGTAACATCTTGTGAGCACCAAAATTCAGGAACAATCTAAACTCCTTTAAAAATGTGAAAGTGACAATATTAATCATAGCCAATAATAATAATAATAACCAATAATAGCCAGATTGCGGATAGTTGTTCAAATTCATTTAGCAGTAAGTTAACAAATTTTTTTGTTACAAAAAAAATTAGTCTGTCTTTTTGTTGTTCACTTTCATTTAAATCCACTTCTTTTTAGTGATTTTGGATTTGTTTTTTCAAATGTTTTGTTTGTTTTCAACAAATAAAATATTTTATTACATGTAAGTTGATAGATCATCATTTGCAAGGCATAGCTTACACAGCACCAACTAGATTTTTGTGACAGGACACCCAAAAGTTTACAGCCAAATAACTGGTAGATTTTGATTATGTTTTTGAATGGCTAGGGAACCTTTTAGAAGACAGATAACAAAAATTTAAAAACAACAAACTGAACAAAACCAACCCAATTCATGCATGTTATGTAAAAGGATACAGTCTTTGATTATATTATATTTTAACCCCGCCAACTTTATTATCAACACGTCAATAGCAAAAGCAATAACTCCAGTGACAAATCCAATGATAAACATGACAACCCATCTGTTAATGTTAATTCGAAGGCGTTCCTGAGGAAAATAATGTGACATTCCTTGTAAAAAAAATGATAGAAGAGAGATTTATTAACATATCACCAGGCAAATACACACAAACAAATTTATGGTACACAACAGCAAACAAAGCTATCATTTGACATTTGTGAAAATATATACTACACAGAATAATTTTGAGATAGTGAGAAACTTGATATGATAGGTGTCCACATTCATGCAAAGAAAAATAAAACAAAAATAATAATTATTAAGAACAGTTGAAACAAAAATTCTTTTTTCTTTTTTGATATGTACATTTAAGAAAAATCAACATCTTTATCAATTCTTAACTTGACCCTTTCAATCCCAAGATCCCCGTAGTAATTCTCCTTAATGTCTCCCACATAATTATGATGTTAGTTGGGAGAATTTGGTAATGGATCAACTAATAATCCCCTAACTGATTTTTCCTTTCTTTCAATCCCTTTTCTGCTTGATATTGCATTGATTTTTTTAACAAGAAATTCCATCTTGGTCACACATTGAAATTAAAGGGTTGAGATAGAATGAAAACCTTTAATTAGCTCTTATCGGTACATCTATACATTAAACAATACTGTATCCAGCCTTGTTCACTTTGAAAATCAGAGCCTAAGTCCCTATGGTCAAGTGATAGATTTTTTACACCTTAATACTCATCGAATCCGAGGAAGAATACATCTTATAAAACACCTAGAATTTCCACTGTCGAATCTCTCACAAAACACGAAGCACGATGCGAAAGTGCGCATATGACGTCACAGGCCAGCTCATGCGTAAAACCGCTTCTCAGTTCAGTCACTGGCTCTCGGTTGCGAGCTGAGTAATGGCTGACCGGTTTTTCGTGAATTTCGGCCAGCTATATCAAGGCGTATTTCGCTTCCATCGACCTAAAAGCTATCACATAGTACAATTCTAACCATATTAACTTGATTGGCGCTAAAAAATGTGAAAACCAGAGACAAAAATTTTCGTCGTAGTGGCACTTTAATACTCATCGTATCATGCAAGACGCAGTCAAAACCGTCTCTTCACTTACCTCTGCAGTATACGACTTTTGCTCTCTGAAGTAAAGTGAATTTTCAGGAGTATCATAGTCCAAGCTCTGTTTAAAACCAAACAGTTTGACATTCAAAAATTTTGCTTTGCAGAGAAAGGCTTCAGAGGTGACAAGGCTGGAAGGGGACAAAAAATAAAACAACAAACAGCCCAATAACTAGAGAGAGAAAAAATTATTGCCAATCCATGGTTACAATATGGGAGGCATGGTGACCTGATGGTAGGTGTGCTCAACTCCAGATCAAGTAGTCAGGGTTCAAGCCCTAGCCACGGACATTGTTGTGTTCTCAGGCAAGACACTACTCTCATAGTGCCTCTGTTCCCCCAGGTGTTTAAATGGTTACCAGCAACTTTAATGCTTGGGGGTAACCCTGCAATGGACTGCATCCTATCCAGGGGGGAGCCGAATTGCTCCTAGTCACTTCAGGCTATAGAAACCGGAGTTAAGTGCTGGCCTGATGGACAACTTGGGTCATAAACAGACTTTACTTTTTACCAGAGAGTAACAGATATACCAAGTGTTTTAATAAAAGACGGATACTAGCAGTCTACTAAAAGGACCTCTTTGCATTGTCTGTCTACAGCGAATTTACAGAATGATAAGTACATTTTGCAAATGAGCCTCCTAAAATAAACCTGAACAGTGGATTTTTTCTTTCATTTCATGAACACCTCAAGATTGTTTTAAATACATGTGATGCATGAGTTTTTCTAAAATCTGTGTGAGAAACAGGACAAAGACCCCTGTTTGTCTGGTCTGCAGTGTATGGCAGAACTCAATGAGATTTTGGTGTGCAAGTGCAATTCTGCTCTGTGAAATATATGGTATAGGAAAGGAGAAAATGGAACATGAATCTGCCATACTCTGCATGTATTCATTCATCTTTATTTGTTTGAGCAGGTTGAGTTATGGCAGCAATTTGCTGATGCGGACCTGCTATCTTCCTCACCCATCCCACCCCAGGGGAGGACATTCACTACACAGTAATCTTGTGTGTGGGAAATTAACATCTCCTACCCCTAACCCTGCAGGAGACGCTCTCTCAAAATGGTAAGATTTGCAGAATTCACGTTGCCTGTCAGGTCAGGAAAAATTTGCATTTGCCAGTGTCATTTGAACTGAGTTGTCCTAAATGCAATCATAGTCACCGTTTCTATGTAATATGAGATATACAACGTTTGGCCGTGATCATATGAGCTGCCACATCACTTGATCACTGCCTCGTCTAACAAATTATGGCACGAAATACTGCATACCTCGTACTTTGACGATATTTTCTGAAGACTACCTGGCTCTGCCTCGACACCATTTCTGGATAAACTCTGAAAGAGAAAGAAGCTACATGCTCAAAAAATCACTATTAAGCATAAGAATTCCTCTATTATACCAGTACACAGTAGTCGTACTCCAAGTTACAATTATTAATAAATGAATACCTCACCTCTCTAACTCCATTTAAATGCGAACTGTTCGATTCTTCTGTGACATATCTCCGACGAGCAACATTTGAACTTTGAATAACCGGCTACAAAATTGTAAATAGTCCGTACTTAGCAGCTGAGTTTGTCAGATTGCGAATTAAAATGCGTCACTTACTGTTTGGCACTAGCTAGAAAACTTACTTCGTCCTGACTAACAATTAGTGGGGTATTTTCGGAGTCCATAGTGTTCACAGATTTCAATCGCTGAGACCTCTGCATGGATGTAAAAGTGTTATTTCCTCTGATTATCAGGTGTTTCGCAGCTGATCATGTATTCCATCAGAAATGGCAAATTCAGGCCCAGTGTTTTTCTGACTCACACTACTTCCCATAATGCATACCTGGGTTAACAACATGGCGGCCAGATTCTCAACCAAGTCACTTAGACTGCTTACATCATCCAGAGCGTATACTTCTCGATTTTACAGTAGTCTCAGGTATGATTTCAAGCTAGAGCCTTTAAATGAATACAGCAGAGTTTCATTACGTGGATGAAATTTGTTTTTCTAGCTGCACGTGGTGTGTGTCTCTCCAAAGATGGCGGTTCTGTACCCGATATAATTCTACCTTATCAGCTCCCTCGCCCGATGAATCGCCCAAGGAATATTCAGAAAAGATCACAAATATTGTGGATGAAATATCGAAACTTACCCTCATAGAAGTTGCAGATTTAAATGAGCTGTTAAAGGTAGATCGCCTTTCTAATAGTTTTCAATTTGAATTTTTCATTTATGGATGTTCATATTTTGGTTCTGATTTATTAGCATAATGGCGATTCCCAAGAAATACAGATTTTCATAGATTTCCAAACGAGATTTTCCTTTCATTATTGTTGAAGGTTGGAAAAAAAATGAAAAAAATCTTTAATTAAAGTGGCTCGAAACGTTTTAGGGGATTTTTTTTCTTATGACAAAGACATGGTTCTTCTCAAAATAAGAATATTAAAAAAGGAATAACTTTACTCGCTTCTGAGAAAATCAAAATTTACCTCACTTGTGAAGCTCTAGTCATAAGTTAATTTTGCCATCGTTTTGATGTTTGGATTTCATGAACCTATGTATAAGTAATCACATGATTTGGAGTGCAGTTTGGAATAAATAAGCACGAGTAAATTTTTTCAAAGACTAACAAAATTGCATGAGCCCGTAGGGCAAGTGCAATTTGTGGTCTTTGAAAAAATTTACAAGTGCTTAATTATTCCAAATTGCACGAGACAAACATGTGATTATCTATTAATAAAATACATGAAAAAATATGAGGTAGCTTCTCATAACTACGCAGAAGAAGAGCGCGCGCATCACGTGCAAAAATAATTTATTCAAACCCTGCAAGTGACATTGACCTTCACATTGACCTTGACATTGACATTGACCAATCATTCTGACCAATCAGAATGTCTGGTTTGTTTCTTTCTTTGCACTGAATTAACTCTCTTCTGCACTGAACTAACTGAAAACTGCATTCATCTTAACCAATCAGAACTGAGAAATTTTTTCATGTATATTATTAATACTGTAACATCAGTATTCATATCCTCTGTATTGTTCTCTGCGCATTTACTGAGGTTCTGACAAGGAGAATTTAAGTAAAGATCAAGAGCTTTTTTAGTTGGTGATCATTTCCTTTATTCTCATGACTTAAATGTTCAATTCAGTGATATTGTAAGGAGAAATTAGATGCTAGTCACTCTTAGGGGGCAAAGAGTTGAGGAACATGGGGGGAGGGGGTGAGGAGAAATTAGATGCTAGTCACTCTTAGTGGTCAATTGAGGGGTTAAAAAATCAATTAAGGGTGAAAGTTTCCAATGAAACTGTGGTGCTGCATCAGTGGGCTAAAAAGGTTATTTGGTTTTATCAACTAAGTTGAAATTGTAAATTGGTCACCGTAAAGAGTTAAAAAGCTGATGTTTTGAGCATTAGCCCTTTGTCAGAGCGCATTTATATGATTTGTTTACCTTTTACAATGTCAACGGCACAAAGCTAACAAAGTTCAAGCAAATCGATGATAGGGTAGAAATTCAAATGAATTTGAAAAAGGTTATTTAATACCCTGGCAACTGGATAGCCTTTGTAGTATTCCTTCCTATCTCCTTTTTTCCCAAGTAGGATATAAGCTTCAGTGGAATGGGAGCATTTTGTGGGAATGGGAGATATGCCTGGCTAAAATGAAACATTTGAGACTACTCTGCAGGATGCCAACCTTTTGGGGAAAAACCAGTTAAAGTTCACTTTTATTTGGCCTTTCAGAAAACACTCAAAATAGAGGGTGCTTCGATGATGCCAATGATGGGAGCAATGCCTGTTGCAGCTGCACCAGCTCAGGTGGGTTGCTAAATCACATCAGTCATTGTTATCTTTAATTATTGGATATATATTCCTGATTGAATCAGGGTTCTCTTGCCAAAAGGCACCATATTTTGGGGTTCTCTCACAGTGGAAGGGACCATTTTTTTCCACAGAACTCTTAAGAATTGTAATATGTCGAAAGAAAATTATTTGTTTTGTACTCCGGTTTAAGGACACTTTTATTTACTAGGAAATAGATGCTGAACCTGAAAGACCTGCTCCAACAGAGTTCATCGTCAGGTTAACACAGTTTGATGCTGCAAATAAAGTCAAGCTTATAAAGGAAATCAAGAATCTTGTACCAGGGCTTAACTTGGTTCAGGTGAATGGAAAACCTTCAGTATCAGTAACTTGAATATAAATTCGTGTTTATGAATGGCAAGAGTTAAAGGTGTACATTAATGGCAGTATCCTCATGAAGTGGATTATCTTGTCTTCAAATCGTGAAAGTGTTTTGTTTACAGACTATGTAAAGGGACTTATAAGTGATGGATGAACAAATTGAAGAAAAAATCTAGTGTATGGGAAAAATTAATTTAAAAGTAATTTTCAACTTTTCTGTAAGTCTTGTTTTCTACTCAAGAATAAAATAGTGCTAAGATTGCTGTAAGCAACAATTTTTTTGGTATATAAACATTTTTCAAGGTTGTTTTCAGGCCTAAATGAGAGAGTAGCATGTTCCAAACACCTTTTAAAGTGACATTTTGAAGGTACATATCTTGGAGGGTACAATATCATTTGTTTATCCTGAAGTTCTCTTGAAGGCTTTTTGAAGTTTTTAATATTTATCCATTCATGAAAACAGCTGTTTAATGTTATTTGATCTACACATTATCTGAGGTAGAAGTAACCCATTACAGGTTTTAAATTCACCCTTTGGTTACCTTTCCAAGGTAATTTTCAATTTGCAGAATTTTGTGCAATTTTTGTCATCCTTTTTTTCTTCAGGCCAAAAAATTTATTGACGAGCTACCAAAGAATGTGAAAGAAGGTGTAAGTAAAGAAGAAGCCGAAGATGTGAAAAAGGTGCTGGAAACTGCAGGGGGAACAGTGGAAATAGATTTTTGATGCAATATACAGTTGAGCCAATTTGTTATTAAAATTCACTTTTCAGTTTTACCAACATTGCCCTCTGCTCTCTCTCTCTCCAACTGTTATGCTGATGTTAAGGCTAGAACACAAGATTATTAAAAGTAAAAGCATATTGCCATAACCTGCTACAGCTCTTCTTTTTGTAGTTTTCTCCCACAACTAAACATCCTAAAGAATCAAGATAGTACACTTTGAGACAACAGAAGGGCTGTGTACAAAAGCACAGTTTTTTCATTGGTATGTGAAAACTTTGCATCTTAAAGCCAATTGTTACCCATGGTATGGGATGGCAGTTACACCAGAGGACAATAGAATGACACTGTTCAAAATATTAGATGAGTCACAGTGCATGTGTCACCATGACACTGTCCCTTTAAGCATGGCACTAGAGGTGAAACAGTGCATTTTCAGCTCGAGGTGTTGTTATTTGAATAAACATTTTTACATGCTTTCAAATAGAGGAGGGAAATGAAAAAATGATACAGTACTGATTACTGATCCTTAATTCTGCTGTTTTTTTTCTTTGAGTTGGAAAATTCAAAATATTCAATTGTTATATTTTGTTTCAAGGGTTAAATAAAATCACTTATTACTATACAGCTTCTTTCATTTGCTGTGATAACTATTATTTGATTACATGTACATGAAACAGAAGCTCAAACTGTAATGAGTTCTTAGTTCCAATACTTGATTAGCACTTGCTGGGTACGAGCTTCTCTCTCAGAAGACATGTTTTAAAAGAAAAATTGCAGAGATAACAGTTTTATAATAGTTTGACACACTATTTACTATCATTCTTTTCATCATACACAGCACAATTCAGTTAATCTTTGTAACTGTACCAAAAGCTTTACAAAACTGAAACTTCAATTTCCTAGTAACATAGTAGCTTGTTTTCATCTCTCATTGTTTTGGAAAATTATGGACAAATAAAGGTTATAGCACCCTATTTAGTAGTAGCGGTTTCGTTTGTGGGAAGGTGACTCCATAACGATGTCTGTTGAACATGCTGACCGTTTTCTTCCTTCCCTAACTTCTGTATCTCCAAAGTTCATGTCGGAGTGGCTTCTGCGGCGAGGACTATGATATGAGTTCATGCCCCCACCAGCAGTGAGGTAAGCAGCTGCGTTAAGTTCAGGTCGAACAGTAAAGGTATCTACAGGTGTCCCATAGTACTGTGCATCAGTGCCTAAAATATCAGAGTCCATTCCAGATGGCAGAACCATTGAATTTGATCCTAAACTTGTACTTGAAGTGTGTCTTGCCTCATGATTCCGTCTTGGAGGTGAACGGCCTGCCAAATATGCCAACAATTCCTCACGAAGAATAATTCTCTTTTTCTTCTTTGCCCAAGAAAGGACATCTTTACTACGTTTTTGATATCCAGACTGGAAGCCCAAGTCCAAGCCACGCTTGTAAGCATCAGCACCATCTGAGAGAGAAATATCCATTACAGTTTTGATTGTGTTTCTGCCTTCAAAGGGGCACTGAAATATTAACTGAAATGATTGACTCACAACTACTGACTATCATTTCTGGCCATGCTCTTCAAAAGTTGTTGACTACAGGTAAAACAGTTTCACAGACTTACTTTCTAGTAACAATTGATGTTACAAATTATTTTTGTTCTAAATTCCTCACTATGGAAAATAAACTAATTCTCAATTATGGAAAAACATTTTTGTCAAATTAAATATTTCTCTATACCCTACCCAAAATAATTAAAAATCACAACGTAACCATTTTCTAAACTTGAGATACTGGTCACAACTAAAAATTAGTTGAATGCTGCAAAAAACAACCTTTCACATCTCATCATTTTATTTCCGATTGCATCTTTGCTTAAACCAGCCATTAGATCGTTTCAATTGGTTGTCGACGTAGCGTATAATTAGACGATTATTCATTCTCAAAGGCGTTTTTCTAAGAAGGATACGGTAATATCTAGAAATGCAATACTCTCAATATAAACAAAATTGAGCACCTTTGCCAGATTTCTTTTAAAACAAACCTGGCCGTTATTTGCGTGCACGTTCTACGTAATTTAAAACATTATTCTGCCGTGAACCAGGGCAAAAGAAGCTCATGGATAAGAAATTACGACATGTATTCCCGCACAAAGTCCAAAGATCTGACGAATTCTCGTCGCATCTACCAAAACCACTAAATTTCAAAGGTTTCCAATCACTTATTCGCCCAATATTTCTTACAAGTAGTAGAGAAAAACAATGAAGAATGCAAGTCCTTTAAAATATACTCTCAAATTCTACCACACTGATTACCTTCAATTCCTGAAGGGGATCCGGTGTAGTCTTTGATAAAATTGCTTAGCGCTAAAACCCAATTCTTACGCTTCAAAGTTGCGATTCTGTTTCAAAGCCTACGCATCAAACAGTCCATTATATCATACCTTTATAAAGAAGCGTTATGGTGTTTGCAGTGTCTTGGAAAGGGCTCCATAATCGATCACAAGTTTGGCTCCGACTCTGTCGCTCTGCCATGGGAAAGAACAATACAAGCAAACATGTTAGATTTCGTCGTCGCGATAACTTGGAACTTAAGGGAGTACATAACTTAAACGAATTTACGCCAAAAATCTAACCTTTGTAAAGCTGGGCACAAGCCGTTGCTGCGTTCTGAAACAGATTCCTCAAACGCTGCAAGGCTTGCTCTTTTTCAATTGCTGATCTGTCGTCGACATCGGGTTGGGACTCGAGCTGCTCGATGCATTGTTTCTCCCAGTTTGTGAAACCCCGGGGCTCATTTCCTCCATCAAAGTCTTCTCTGTCTCTACCTTCCATTATTTACAATGACAATATTACTTTCAGAATCTCAAAAAAATGGACCAAAACGCACGAAAACGTTATATTCTCAATCTCATTTTGCCACCGCCATGTTTTTATCCAATGACGAACTTTCAGAAGGAGTGGTCACAAAGCTCCCAAGCCACTCGATGAGCATGCGCGTACGCGTCGAAATAACGCCGAGTATCATGCAAAGGATCAGCTTAATTAATTTGTGTCTTCCAGCAAGGGTGTGTGAGGGCACGAGAAATTGTTCTTTCGATAGAAATTAACCGCTTCTGAAGAAGAAAATGTTCGCTTTGAGGTATGTAGTAAATACAATTACCAAGGGAGCGATGTGTGGTATGCAAAGAAGCATACCTTGTAAGTCTCCTGCTTTCGTCAGCTCTGGGAATTTCGTGTTCCTCGGAAGCAGCTCACAATCTAGAAGGAACTCCGCTGCTTATTCCACTCTCGCGATCTCTGCTGTATCCATGGATGATGAAGCTGTAAACATCAGATGGAAAGATGGAAGCATCACAAAACATCACCACATCTGGTTGAGGGATCACTGTCACTGTGAGCAATGTTACAACTCCAGCACTTTTCAGAAAGAATTTAACATCGTAGATGTATCCCTTGATATCAAACCAACTAAGGTTTCCATACCTGAAGAGAACAACTTACGCATTAAGTGGCCGGACAGCCATGAAACAAGCTTTGACTCAACATGGCTAAGACAACACTCCTACCACATAGAACAAGGTACATCAGGGTTGAAGAAACCAGATCAGAAAGAGGAACTGTTCATGTGGAACAGAGACACAATTGAGCCAAATGTTCCTAGCCATTTTGATTTTTCCAAGGTTGTCTCAAGTGATTATGAAGTTTCCACACTGTCTCAATGCATCATGAAGTATGGGTTTGCATTTGTGGAAAACACACCAACTAAAGTTGGTGCTATTGAAGAAATATCCACGAAGTTAAGTGGCTATGTCATGGAAACACACTATGGGAAATTATGGGAATTTTCCAACGAGGTCATGGAGCATGCTGACACTGCTTACACAGCAAGTTATCTTCGTGGACATATAGACAACACTTACTTCTCCAATCCAGCAGGGCTTCAGATGCTACATTGTGTGGAACATGAAGGAAGAGGGGGAATGAACTTGTTAGTGGATGGCTTCTTTGTGGCTGAGCAACTGAGGAAAGATGACAGGGCTTCCTTTGATTTCTTAACATCAACAACCATTCCTTTCCAATACAAGTCTGAGGAACTGCACTTGAAAGCCAATGGACCAATCATAGAGCTTGATCCCTTTGATGGAACAATTTCCAGGATAAGATTCAACACTTATGACACACAAACTTTGGACTGTTTGAATTATGAGGATGTTGCTCAATATTACAAAGCTTTGAAAGCATTCACTGAGCTCACCTGTGCACCTGAAAACCAGCTGTGGTTCAAACTAGTTCCTGGTTTGCTACTCATCATGGGTAACTGGAGGGTGCTCCATGGTAGGTCATCTTTCACTGGAAAGAGAACCATGCAAGGCTGTTATGTGAATGGCGATGACTTTTTTGGAAAGTACAGAGCAAGAGCTCTTGCCATGAACAAAACTCAAGATCCTGACAATGATAGGTCTAGCTGTAAACAAAATCCTGGTTACAAGTAATCTATAGGCAGTGTAATAAGGTGAGATCCAAGAAAAATAGGTTGAAAATGTTTCTAGAAATATTGTATTGGATAGAAAGATATATAGTTTATTCTGATTAAAATCGCAGCCAAAAGCTGAATTAGATTAATTAATTGTTACAATAGTAAAATCTAATAAAAGTATGAGAAAAATATAAAAAAATGTACACAAATTAACTACAATTACTATATATAAATGTGTTCTTGAGTCTCTTCGTCTTAGCCAGAGGAACATTAAATTTCCTCTTTCGTCTCAAATTGAGTTCACAGTTGTTATGAGGAGGCAAGAGCTTCTACAGTTTATGGTCTGAGTTACAAGTGATGGAATCAAAAAGCTTAGTTGTGATAGACTGCCTGCATTGGGAGAGTGTCTCCAAGTTGGCTTGATTTAATGCGTCGCCACTGTATATGGAACAAACGGAAAAATAATTCGCAAGGCATGTTTCTGTAGCTGTTCTAACTCAATAGATAAGTATGCGGGAAACGTGTTGCAAAACACCGGGCATGTGTATTTCATTACTGGGCAGATACAAGTCTTGTAAAAGATTGGCAGATCTTTGGCCGGAATATTTGCTCTCTTCAGTTGTTTAAGAAAATATAATCGACTTGCTACTTTTTTACTTATTTCAGCAACATGATGGTTCCACTGAAGGTCAGAAGAAATGTTTATCCCTAACAACTTAACAGTAGACACTACCTCTATTGCTTTCCTGTTGATAACAATTGGAGCAAAGTCCGCGGCTGATTTAGCAAAAGAAATCCGTAGTTCCTTACATTTCGATTCATTTAGATGGAACTTATTTTGATTAGACTTAGCAATCAGTTCCTCCACATCAGATTGAATAGGACTGCCTTCCTTTTTGTGAACACACTCTGCAACAGTTGTGTCATCCACATATTTCCACAGATCCGTATGGCTGGTGTTGATGTTGTCGATCATAAGAATAAAGAGCCACGGCCCGAGCTTGGTTCCCTGAGGCACCCCTGCCGGTACATTCCTCCATTCGGACAGGCAATCTTCTCCCAACTTGACTCTCTGCCTACGATCTGTAAGGAAGTCGATGATCCAAAACGGTACGCCAACCGGCATCTCCGAGGCGAGCAGTTTCCCATCAAGAATCATGTGGTCTATCAAGTCAAAAGCCTTCCGATAATTGAATAAGACGACCCTGACGGTGGATCCTGTACTGTGTGTGTGTTTGGCCCAGGAGTGCACCATACTGATTAACACATGCATTGTAGAAGATTTTGGATAGCCCCAAATTGGTTGTCTCTGATTTTCTTGAGAATTGATGGGCACAAGTATTCCACAACAACAGACTCCTCTGCCACCTTAGAGAGAGCGGGCGTTAACAAGATGGGACGCAGGTGTTTATTTACTTCCTTAATTGGTTTCTGCTTTGGGATCGGCACGGTATCAGCAGATTTCCAAGAAGGTGGTAAACGTCTTTCAGCAAAAGAACTGTGAATGATCATATCAGTTACCGTATGGGAAAGGAGATCTGCATTTTCCTTTAGCAACCATGCTGGAATACCGTCAGGTCCGGATACTTTCCTAGGGTTGATCAATGCTAGCTGAAGGTAAACAGCATGCTTAGAAATGACAAATGGTTGCTCAGTGGAGTATTGAAAAGTCATGTTGGCTGAGCTCTCTGAGAAGTCAGATCCAAATTGGCTTTTAATCCTCTTCGTTTGTTGTAGTGTTGAATAAATGTCCAAGAATTTGATAATTGACAAGTGTAATCATTGCAACTTTTTTAGTTATCTACAGATAGCTTTAATCAGTGGAAAACATCTTCAACAAGATAAATGAGTTTTAATGTATACATACATGTAACTGTTAAGAATGGCTATAAATTTGGAAAATGATGTAATTTTGCCATGAGGTGTTATTAATTTTATGATAAGGTATCAAATTTTTTCATGTTGTTATGATATTTTTGATATATTTAATTTACTCATTGCAAATGCAATGGTCAAGGATAAATGTAAAATAGCCACAATTGTATCACTTGAACATGCATCTTTTTAAGACATAGGCACTCATTTTTTTTTTGTTTACACTTAGGTTGAAATTCATCAATTATTATTTTCTTATTAATAATGCTTTAAAAATACACAAGCAAATAAATAGTAAAGATATCATGTTCTGACTCTTTGGGGACCTCATTAAGAAGATTTCTGCAAAATGTTTAATTTAAACTATACAGCCACATTCAAATCAGGGTAAATAAGAACTCTTAGAAAGGGTCCTTTCTATTTATCGATGAAATACTTGTCAGTAATGAGTATGGTTCTTCATTACATTGCTTTTCTGGGAAACACCTGTTTATTGTTTATTTATTAATTTTTAGTTATTTAATAGTAGATGCTATAAAGTAAATTGTACCATCCCACAGACAAACATTGGTGTGAACTTCTTTTATTTAATTTTGGAACCTAGCATAATTTTATATTGCAGCAATCTTGTAATGCTAGAACTAACTGTAGTTATGACTGATAATTATCAGTATGTCTGACTAAGTTGTCTCTTGGACTCATTTTGTGCAGTTTGTAATTTTCTTTCCAGCCTACTAATAGCTATCCATCTGAATGGGAAAGTGTGTTCAAAATTGTTTAGTTTTGCCTTGTCAGGAATGAGCAAACTTTGACCACAGATGGTCTGTTTTCTTTTTTCTTTCAGTCCTATGATCATAAAGTGCAAGTGCTCAATGGAAACTGTCTCAAAGATGATCTCATTATCTACTTACTCCATTACCACTCCAAGTTCCATGAAAAAAGTGTGAGCAAAAAACAAGCAAAGCATGCATTGAGTGATAGTAGAGAAATTCAACCATGCAAACAGTGCCATATCTCTTGTTCTTTATAAAATTTAGTGCATTCTTCCAACTGTAGCCTCAAGAATCCATACTCCTTTCTCTAATATTTATTAATTATTTTATAATTCACGAACTCTGAAAGCAATCTAAGTAGGGCTCAACTCTCTGTTGAATATGCTAACATCATAATTGTTACAGAACTGACATTTCCCAAAATTACATCGAAAACTGACCATGAAAAACAATTAAAATTCCATCCCATTCCAATTTCTTTTTAATTTTTTCATTAAACTAGGAAGTCAATGTTTCTTTTTTTTGAATAGTTGCAATTCATTGTATAGATTTCATGAGAGATTCTTTCTTTTAGTTTACAAGACAACGTTTCAAATCTTAATTTGTATCATTGCATGGTAGTTGTTAATTGACTATGTATTTTTCTCAGGCCGCTTTTCAGCACTTTATGTTGAATGCCAGGTTTGAAAGCTTCAGTTCATGGTTAATCAGAACAAGGAAAAATGAATTTATCATCACGTAATTCATCAAAAATACAGGTATGAATGTCATATTCCAAATGAACTGAAAATACAGAATAAATTGCTCGCTGAAACCTTTCAATAAAATTAAATTTTTGAGTCACTCATAGGTCCAGGATGACTTAAAGCTGCATTTCTTTTCTGTACAGCATCCAGAAGTTTTCTTCTTGGCCCAAGAGGGAGGCCAATGTCTTTGAGGTCATTATCAGTACAGAGGGATAGAGTACTTAAATCAATGCTTTCATTGATCAAAGATGTACTGAACTGTTCCAAGTTCAGTGAAGCCATAAATGTAACAAGGGTTTTATTTCTTGTGTTATCCATTTCAAAGTCTGACACTGAGAATGTGTCTTCAAGGTCAATAGATTTCAAACTGCGAATGTCATTAAATGATGAACTCAGCTGACTGCTAGAGCTTAACTGACTGCTGAGGCTAGTTCGGCTTGTCATGCTTCCATTTGTCATTCTAGTGGGATTCTTTGGCACATAATGAACATGTGTTGTAACATTACCTTTGTCATCAAATTTTTTGACCACATGTCCAAAAGACAAGTCTGAATAATCAAGTTCATAGGGATCTACAGAGTCTGAGGTTAAATTCTGGTGCTGATTCTCAACTGCCTTGGACTCAAGCTGATCTAAAAAAGATGGTGTACTCTGGGAGAAGCTCCTTACTAAGCCAGCATCCTCCAATGACCTACGATTTATAATTTGTGGCTCATCTTTAGAGCTACGTAACGAGCTGAATTTTGAGCGAAACACTCCCATCATGCGGCCTTTTTTAGAACCAAACTGAAAGGTCTCTGAAGAATAGGCCTTTGTACTTTTCTTGTCATTTCTTTTATCTTGCTCTGGAAAATGGCCAACATCAGTTAATTCTGAAAATTGTTTCTCAGCATTTTTATGAGGCACAGACAATCCATTTCCATTCCATGTACCTTTCTGGTGGTCATTCACTGACCTGCTCCTTACTCTAGTTTCCTTTGCAACTCTTTTTTCATAAGCATCATCTCGTGATTGTATGTTCTTATCTTGCTTTTTAATCCTTTTCATCATATCTTTTTTGGCTTGCCTCCTGTGCCTGTCTACTTCTTTCTTATTGCGCATCATGTGGATAGCAATAAGCCCATCCAAATGTCGCACACATTCCATACGCCCATGAAGGGCAGCTTCCTCCAATGGTGTTCGCCCCTCGTTGTCCAGAGCCCAGATGTCTGCACCAAAGTTTGTAAGGAAACTCAAGCAATTGAGTTGTCCACAGCTGGCAGCCAGGTGAACAGCACTTGCCCCATCTTGGTTTGTTCTGTCAGGGTCCCCTCTGAAATGCAAGTACACTTTTGTCAATAAACCAGAATAAGGGGTTCACTTTCTAAGGTAAGGTGTGCTGGGCTTATCTCAGGTTTTGTAGCATTAGGCAACAGGGGTATAACTACTGCCCCTAGATTGGTGCACGCAGCACGTCATCAGCTTTCCTTTTTGATAATCACCAACACCCATTTGTACATGGAGAAAAACCTCTTATACCACGAGTATAAGAAGTTCAAGATGTTGTTAAGCCTATTTCATCTCTAACAACTATTACTCCTATTAATAGCTATTAATAACGTTTACCTCTGTAGTCTGACATAAATAAACACTGTTTAAGAAAACTGTAAAGTGCATTCGGCTATGCCTTTTTTTTTATTTCCCATAAAAATTTCAATTAACATTATTGTCATTTTGTGCCACAATATTATTGGAATATGGTTCAGATGGCAATGCTGTCTCGTTTCAAAAATGTTCTGAAGTTGATTTAGACCAGCAAGTCTCTCATTTTCATTTTATTTTAAAGATATTTCCAAAAATCATGGCAGACTTTTTATAGCCTTTGTTCTCTATTACAATCTGTGTTCCAAAATTCTACTCAGGAGTTATACAGGAGGAAATGAGAGGAAAATATGCCAACTGAAGATAGATTGACAGGCAACCATTGACTTGGAAACAAATCAACGAAAAGAACTTTAAAATTTGAAGACAGCAAAAAATTGCATAATTTTATTCTTCATATAAAATAAAAAATTTCATAAGAGCCAATGACTCGCTTAGAAAAAGAAAAACGGTGGAAAGCAGGCAATCTCACACACCTTTCGAAATTGCCAAACTGGGAGATCTACGTTTTTTTGAGTAGAGTTAAAACTTTAACCAGCGAACTATACTAAATTTGTTGCAATTTTTGTCTTCAGGAAGTTTATTGAACTCGTAACTCATCTTTCGTTACTAAAATCTAATAAAAACTTTGAAATTTACTTATTGGGCGATTTGCGTGCAAAACAAATGAAAACTCGTAAAAGAAAACTCCATATTTGAGCTACAAATTATTGAATTTATGAAAACGTTGACAAACTTCAGCCACCGTTTTCAATAATGTTATCCTTAAAAATTTACACCCGAATGAATAATCAAGGCTTTGTTTACTCGTTATATCACCAAACTAAAGATCTCGCGGAGTATTTTCACTCCTAATTTGCACTCCTAATTTGACTTTGCACGTTTACCTTCCTATAAACCCGCATACAATTAGCTTAAAATAAAGAGGAAAATATTGCGCAAATAGCCACAGATAAAAATTTTTTGTCTGTTCTGCTTAGTGCTTTTTAATTTGCACACAGTAACTGAAAATAATTAGCGAAAGCCATCCTCTATGAGATTTAAACGAATGCAACTATCCATATTTTGCTTAAATTTAGGACCAAATTTGAAACAACACCGCAAATTTCGCAAGCTTTTATTCGGCAGGTGCTCACCCTAAGGTTTTAATTTTCTCTTAATCCTAAAGTCTGAAAACAAAAAAATTAACGCTATGAAAGAAACCCCATTTCATCTTTTGTGTTTTAGTGATACAATATTTCGCCAAGTGAATCCTTTCGAAAATTAGGAACTCCTAATTTAGTTAGACCTACCCTTTTCCGACCAGCAATCTAAGGGCTTCGACGTTTCCACAACTAGCGGCGTAGTGTACTGGAGTCATTCCGTCTTCGTCCCTTCGGTTCGCGTCTCGTTTCGTGGCTGTTTTCAGGAGTTCGAAGACTCCATCACGAGCGGCCTTGTGATACAAATCACTCATGATTTCATTTGATCACCACAAGGATCGAACATTTCATCGCATTTTCCCGCGCTTATCGGTAATACGAGACCGCAAGGTGAATATCAGCTTACGCAAATGACCATCGGAGTGTTTTAGGACTGCGTTTTATAGAAAACCGCACAGAACGAATATCATTTGTATACAAAGTGTTTTATCGACTCCCCAGCAAGCAGGAGATAGAATCCAATTAATCCCATAATGCTTTGTGGGCCCAGGGCTTGGATTAAGAGTGGGGAACAAAAATTTCCTCTTTTCAAATGTTTCCTGGATTCCGTTTTACGATAATTATTATTGTCTCCTTCTATACTCGTCTCATTTATTCACTCTGTCATAAGTCCAAGATTGTGCATTGATGGAAAATGAATTATTGCAGAATGTTTAAATTCTCTAATCCATGTTTATCAGTGGCAGGGAAATAAGCATATCGGGTGTTATACGAAACACCTTCCTTGATACTCATGCATAACCAATCGGGAACGCCTAATGGTCGTGAAGAATAACAAAAATTTCAAATTCGAAATTATTAATAGCAAATTCCGTTTGAATGTTTACCAACTTTGATTAGCGAGGGCCGTTTCGTTATACACCCTTAAACTTCACGGAAAGAAAAAACTATGTCCCCTGCGGTCATTAAACTGATGTGAATTGAAAACATTAGACATGCCAAGGCCAAAGGGCACTTGTAAACCTATTCTGGATACTGGCTCGTGTTATTTTTTTTTTTAGGGAAATATTACATTGATAACGACGCCTCACATTAAATAGGCACAGTATTAGATGGTCCTGTTTTGTCGTTCACCCTTACGGCAGACAATCCCTGGGGGTGATCTTCACGGCTGAGCCTCATCTTAGGCTGATCAATCTAGAGCTTCTTAAAAGTATTCAGAAAAAAACATGTACGTTATTAATGGTTGCAACTCAGTATACGCTTAGACTTGATATTGTCAAGATTTGTAGTTGATGTCAAAAGTTGTAACCAAAGCCGTATAACGCGATAAGATTTCTAAATTTGTTTTGACTCGAGGCGCTTGCGAACTTCAGCAACACAACGCTCAGTGGTAAAATATTGACTATTAGACGCCTCTAGAGACACATAAAATATTTAAATGGTCGGTTTAATACGTACGATTAATAGCAAATGAATGAGGATACAAGTGTTTTTAAGTAAGAGACCTTTTTATGGTATTGTTTGATTGCTTTTTCAATGCCAACAAAGTTGCAAGTCAGGCAAAGTGGCCGAAAAAAAAAAAAAAAAAGAAAGAAAGAAAAGAAAAAGAAACTACAAATATTGACTGATCAACATAGTTAAGATTTGTTCAAGGACTTGCGTATCAGTTTTCATATGCAAAGCTTTTTTCCAACATTTTAAACTAACTTTATGTTGACAGAGCAAATTTCCCGTATTGTGGGGTACGTAGCTACTGTTATGTCTCCAGTCTCCTGTCTTGTATTAACAAAAAGCAAGATGTCGTGAGCTGTTTATAATCAGTGAAACTGGGTGGTCTTGGTTCTGTTAGTGTGATTTCCAACTTGCATATCTAATATCTCGGCCAGTTCGCTGGCTGTTAGCGAGGATTGTGAACCTCCTTCAACAATAACAACCTTTGTTACCAGATCTGTGGGAAGAAGGGTGCGCTTCTTCGCTTTAGCAGCAGCATTTTCCTTCGGGTAGCTGATAATGTACTCCTTTGTCACCTGAACTTGTTTTTGCATGCTAGTGCTGCTACTGCCAGACTAAGTCCTCCTTCAAAACAATTTACGTTTCCACCAGGCAAAAATTTCGAATTCTTTTGATTGGATGAAACAATTATTTCCAAGGCTCCTGACAGTTCAGGATCCGTAGGACGTTTAAAGACAAAAAGCGCCCACCGTCACCTCGATTTGTGTATTACTTGATGAGTTATGGGTGGCGTGATTAGAGTTATCTGATTGGCAAACGACCATATGGCACCTGTTACTTCAAGTTGTGATATCATACGGGCCGTTCCCAAGGCTTTTATCACAACATCATTTCCCTACTGGTGTTTTCAATATAATTTGCATCGATAATGACCCACATTCATGGTTTTGCCCTATCCTAAGAAAAGAAAAACCACAACAATGAGCTGTGTATTTTTTTGCTAACTACAAAAAATAATCAAGCTTCAAACCACGAAAGTAAATAAAGCGCCGTATTATCAAATTGACCTCTCTTTCCTCGAAAACATTTTCACGGCACACAGAAATTTAAATGGATCTTTTTAATCAATGACTTTGAATACTCAGATAGACGAATATATCAATATAATTTCATAACTTAAAATTACTTTTGACACTTCTACCCAAACCACTCGCTCGCACAAGAGCGAATAAAATCTAAGTCTTCGCACAAAAAGGTTTCTATGCAATGTAACAGCTGTAAAACGTTATTACTTCTTCTCAAAGAAACAAATATTGCTGTGAACAAGCTCGACGACTGTGCGAAAATTTTCGATAGATCAACAAGAAAACGCAGAACAAACACGCAAAAGAGAGAATAAGAAATCCTACAAGAACTCTAAAGTCTAAAAATGTGTCCGTATAATATCTGCTGTTGAATGCAGGTCAGTGGTTTTGGGCATAAATAGTGAAGAAAGCGAAGAACGTCTGAGAGAGAGATTTGACGAAGACTCTATTCATTGTGTACGGTCAGCGGTGGATACTCAGTCTCATCGTCCAGTCTTAAGTTTCCAGGTCCCTGCAAGTCACCAAAAGCCGCAATGGCTTGGGTGGGGTCACATACCCCTGCTGTTGGGGAGTTTTGACTGTTTTGCGAAGATGCTCGCGCTCTTGAATCTTGAGATTCTTCTTCTTTGTTCGTTGGTGAGGGGCTTGGTTCGGTGGAAGCGCTTTCCTCTTCCTGTTTAAAACAACCTATTATCATTTTACAGAAGAATACTGAACTATAACCCTATTTACTATAAGACCCGTCCGGCCCCGCTCGCACAATCTCATAGAAACATAGAAAACCATAGTGAAAGATGACGCGTGCAGGGCCGGACGGGTTGACGTAAGCCGGTCCGGAAAAAGCCGTCCGGCCCTGCTGCCCTTGCATCGTCTTGTTGCAAAAACTTAAGGTAAACAGAAATGAGAAAAAAAGTCGCGTTTTTCAAAGAATTGGGATTTTCTTATTCTGACTTGAAAAAAAGGAAAAGTTTGAATTGCAGAATTGTTTTTGTGCTCGTGTGGCTGCGTGTGCCCGTCGATCGCGTCCTATTTAGGTTGGAATTTTCAACACTTAGTGGGTCATATGATAAAATGCTTCCTGATTGAGTTTGGTCGGGCCGGACGGGAAAAAATTCGGCAATCGGTCCGTACGTCATGACCTCGAGCCCAATATTTTCCCGTTCGACCCTCCCACTCAATCAATAAGTACAAAATATTTCAAAAATCTCCAATAAAAATGAAAATTCATTTCGAACAAAGTATCATTAAGTAACGTACTACTTTTTGACAATTAATTCTTGAAAACAAATTACGATGATTTAAAATAGAATAAACATACAAAAAAAAAAAAACTTTTAAAGAAGTTCAAGAATGATCGCTAAAATAAACAACACTATAAGTTGTTCTTTTCACAAAGGTACACTGCTGTAAGAACGGAGCAGTTTTGTGTTCAGGTGTGATAACGAGAAGAACAACAATAAACCCGAACGGCAACAACGAAACGCGTCCAGGCTCTTATAGGAGATACTTAATAATTACCGTGGATGGTTTTTCAAGGCCTTCAGTTTGACCAATTAACCTACGAAACAACGACACAAGGGAACCATTTAAAATGAATTCATTTCATGGGAATCGTCCTAAAGGCTTAAAAGAGGTTGGGTACTGCATGTAACCTGCTAACAAGAGCGAGGCTAATTGCAGTCTTATCTGCAGGAAACGACCAGGAATATTACTGCTCCTCTTGTATAAGATGCTACTCGGTCCATTGCAGATAACAGCCCTTTGGTAGTCTTGTTACGCTTGTGAGTGGAGAGAGACTGAGTGAGAGTGCTCATATCACCATCACCCTGGTCATGAATCAATCCCAGACCTCTACAAGCAACGGCCAAAGTGACATCCATTTGTACACCAGACAAACAGTGGGTTCAAGCTTTCATGAGACAAGCAGAACTCGAAAAACCTACTAACTTCCACTAGCACAATAGGATACCATAATTAATTTAATTCCATCGTAACCCAAAAACTATGGCAAATACTCAGTATTGATTACTTGATGAACAAATAGCGTAGATCACCTATGTTGTTTGAGCAGCGTACAGTCCCCTCCATCCTCAGGGTCGATATTGTAGATGTAAAGATAACCGTCTGCACTGGAGACCAACAAGCGTGGGAGCTTTCCAATCCTGTGGGGGGAGAGGAAGAGTTACATTTGCTTCTACGTACAATATGTGAGTATTATACTGTTGTTTCATTTTTCAAACGTTTCCTATAGAAACAAACAATTTAGCGAACGAAGGGGATATAATTGAAATACTTACATTGCTATGGCGCAAACGTTTCTAAGACCTGGTTTGAGAAAAAGAAAGAACTTAATTAACGAAAAAGTTTACCCAATGAAGAATAATGAACACAAACCTGCGATTGACTTTGGAGATGCCCTGATCAGGTAGCCTGGCGCAAAATAATGTTACTTGCCCGGAGGTAATAAGAGAAGTATGATTTTACTGTAAAGGATCCCTAGCAGAGAGCGCTGGGGCTCATGGGATATGTTTAAGGCGACAGAGAAAGTGAGAAGTAGCCCAAGAAGAGTTGTTTATTGCCAGTAAAAACCAACCATATAGTGCCACAGTCGTCCTCTTCGAAAAGAATCCGGAATACTTTTGGACCGAGTGGGAACATCGAGTAATACCATTTTGAAATAAAGGGGCGCCGTAAGTAGCTTTCCTTATGGACTGGGCATCAGTTACGAAGGATACATTGAAATAGAACATAAGTTTGAGTGGTATTTGATGGGGAGTCTGCCAGAGAGTGTTAATTCTGTGCTGCTTTCTACTTTCGTACCTGCTTGTGGTAATCGAACGCTGGCAAAAGCTCTCTCTTGGTTGAACACTTCTGCGACCTGCAAAAGATACAGGTCAGTGAACTTGAGACAATCATCATTTTGGTGCTCATTTCAATCGAGAGGTTGTGCCAATACATGCTAAAATCCCTTTCGACCCCCACCTTAAGTCTTTCATTGTCTACGACTTACACGCGTTCTACCACCTGTTGTAGTAGTCCCAAGACTTAACAATCTCGCATACTTACATGTACTGGGAGATAACTGCTAGGAGAGAGCGCTTTGCCAAAGTAACCCATCAAACCACCTGCCTCATCCGTAGGCCTAAAGATAAATTATACAAAGACACAAATGTAACGTAGTAAGTGTACTAGTATTAGAAGTCCTTCCGCAAAAAATGACGGTTTTTCATCGTGCCTGTAGTTTCTTGGAATCTTATCAAGGCGGGAAAAGTTCTATGCAGCATTAATGCCCGACTCGGGAAGTCAGAGGGCGAATAACTAAAATCAACCAATCAAAATGCTCTATTGCCGGTCAATATTCTCTCAGTATTGGACCGGACACTGTCCTGAATGGTCCCGAATGATACCGCACTTGTGTCCCTTTGAACTTCAGTCGTGTAATAAATCTCTTATTGACCAAGCTTGCTCGGGACCGTATTGGAAGAATATCGGCCCTCGGTCTTTTTTGTACGGACCTCGCTGCGCTCGGTCCGTACTGTCAAGACCTCGGGCCGATATTCTCCCAGTACGGCCCTCGCGCTTGGTTAATAAGATATATGTATTGACATACCGGGAGTTGCTGCTAGTGGGGGTTAAGGAGTTTTTGTAAGCTCAGTCCAGGTGAACATTCTAGTCGACTGCGACGGACGAGAGGCATCAACAAGCCTTGCACAGGGAAGCAAACTCGTAAAACCTGCCATTTCTCCTCTTAACACAAAATGATTACTTACTCTTTCTTCGGAGCTTCTAGCTTGAAAATGTGTACTGTTTCTGTATTGCTCGAAGCACACAAGAACAGCGAGTCATGGCTGAAGGCAAGCGAGTTGATGGTCACACACCTGAACAGAAAGGCACAGAAATGTATTAGTTCCATCGTTAGCAATACCTGAAACCCTCACTGCTCAAACGGAATATACAAAACAACCCAGTAATAACATGGCGTTTACCTCTTTACTCCTCGTCTAAATTCATAAAGCTTTATTCCATCAGGAATTGCAAACACTCGGATAACTGTTCCCTAGTGAAAGAGGGAAAGAGACGTTGGTTAGTTAATAAAAAGTAGTCATTAACCACAAACATTTATTGATTCAATCTATGTTTCCTTGTATGCGAAATTATTACTTTTAGAGTCATGGAAATCTTTATTTACTTTTAATTAATAACTTAATACAATAAGAACAAAATTATTTGGGGGATCATCCGATGGACTTGACAGAAAAGTCCCAATTGAAGGTGGCATCTATTTCAGACTGAAGGTTTATATCAATAAAAAGTACTTAAGTATAGAAGTACTGCCTAGAGCTTTACACATTAAATCTGTCCACCTTTTCTGATGCTGTTGATAGTTTAGTCCCAGCACTGTTGAATGCCATAGCAGCAACAGGAGAATCATGGGCAGGAACCATTGTCACCGCCCGCTGTAAATGAGATTAAAACAAATGAAAAGGTTAAAAGGGGTAAGCTTCAAAAGAAACTGTACGTGTGTCTGTGGGGCTAGTGTTACAGTGGAACCTCCACTTAACAAACCTCTATATAACAAAGTCCTTGGTATAACGAACAATACTTAAGTTTCAACCTGGCTAAAGTTACAGTAAAATGTACACCACAGAATCTCGATAATGAACCCCTTGCTATAATGAGCCAATTTCCCTAGTCCCTTGGCACTTTATTAAATCGAGGTTCCACTGTACAAGGCTAATTTGGTTTACATTATTTATCAACCATAATGAGTGTCTGATGCTAACATTTGGTGTATCAGCCCTTCATTAGAGCCCCATTGATGATCATAATAAATAATACATGTTCCAAAGTAAAGCCTTCCAACTGATGCTACTTTTGGCAGGTTGATCTACACAACAAAAGTCTGAGAGGTAAAACCCCGTGCCCACTACTGCCTGGAAAGTATGGTTGTTAATTTAAGTATTATAGTATCAAATGTCTTCAGGTTATGTCAGTCTTGTTATTCATCATGATAATTTCTTACCAAATTTACACAGTCAAATATCTGGACCTCACCAATCTGCAATAGGTAAAGAAAAAATTATTGTTTTCAATCATAACTTGAATGCACAAAGTGGTATAGACTTAAAGGTCAATATTATATAGTTACATAAAAATTACTAAGTATTTAAAGCCTTTTTTGGAAGGCCGTCATTATCAGTGCTACAGAACGCGCATGCCTGTCTCTGGCAAGATTTGAGACGGTCTCGACTGTGCTAAAACTGTTGAAAATCTTGCAGACTCGCATTGCTTAAGGCCTTGCACTTTCCTTTGAGTGAAGAAACACTTATGCTGAATCACTAATAAATAGTGAATGCCTCGTCATAGGCTTAAGTATCAGCAAGTTATAACAGTTTACATTAATGCGGAGCACATGCATATTCATCCTTACCTGATTACTTCCAGGATAGGCAAGATAACAGTTATCAGAGTTTACAGAAAGTGCACAAAGACCTAGGAAAATAAAGATTGGCAAAAGATTCCTCAATATTAGATTTCGGTCCGTCGTCAACCTCCAAATAAAAGAAAAACTGCAGAGCAGTTAGTAAAACTAGTCAATTCCTATAGAGTGAACTTATTTCTAAATGTTTCCAGCTCATGCAATCATACACCAAAGTAGATTGAACTGAACTGCTAAATCAATTATAAAATGTAACAAGGATGAATGGTCAGACATTACTCCACAAACCTGATGGATTAGGAGGTGTATCTCTAATTGTGTGTAGAACCTGTGGATGACGAAGACATACTGTCAGTAAGAGGAGAGTTTTTTCATGTTGTTGGTAAGGTTTTGGAGTGACTTTGGCTCTCTGACATGCAATGCTTATGAATACCTCTTACTAGCCAAGATCAAGGTCTGTATTATAAGTTACAGACTAAGTTTTTTTCCTCTTGGGTTAATGGTCCAATTGCACAGGCCATGAATTAACTTATAACAAGCACTAAGAAAAACCAGGTCAGTAAGATTCTTATTGTATTTCTTGGTTCAAATACAGGGGAAAGATTTATTTCAAACATACTTTTGAATTTAGCGAGCTATACAGTGAAATATGGCCTGCTAAATTGACCAATCATAGCCTACGTACTGAGAGATGTAAAATGGGCTATTATTCACTCAGTCTACTGTAACAAGGTTGGCATGAGAAGAGAAAATACCCAGCCCAAACCCAAAAATACAACCATGCAAGCTGAAAAATATCTTCAAATGATTTAATTACACTCTGTATAATTAAAAAATAAGTCTTCTTTTTTTTACCTTCATGTCTCTAATATTGTGAATATATAAACTTTCTTCCAACACAACGAGCAGCCGCTAAAATGCAAAGACAAAACTATCTTCAGAACCAAAAATCAAATTACCCAGAGTTAAATAAAAAATGGACTTTATTTCATGGAGTTAGTAGGTTTCTATAGCAAAAAAATGTATAAGCATGTCTTGAATACTCAAGACAAGGTGGACAATTTTTCCCAATACAGAAATGGAGTTTTACAGATATAAAAATTTAAGACATCCCTACAACAGTATCCAGCAGACTACCAAAAATAATATTATTAAAAGCATGGTGAAAAGAAGTCCAAAAAAAAAGGTATCACTTGGCTGAACTACCATCGTACTATCCACTCACCACTCTGTTTAGCCTGACTGCTAAGATTGTGTTGGGATAACTGTAGTTGCATATTTCTGTTCCTTTCTATAAAGTAAAAAAAAAGAAATATCAGTATTCATCACAGAGCATGAAGTGAAGCCTGGAATGATGAATCAAAACTAAACATTTTATCCTTAAAGTGCCTATGACACTTATTTGGTTTTTATTCTACATCAAAATATAATGACTCTTAAACATGTTTTTGAAACATTTGTGGTATTTTGCCCTTTTCTGAATTTTTTATCAAGCTCTATAATCTGCAGATAAAATGTCTGGCAGAGCAAAGAGGAACTGGGCACCATGATGTCACAGTAGGAATCTTGTGGAGAGAAATATTCTTCATCAAGTCAGTGGTATTTGAAAAACTCCAAACTACACATCGAAATAACATTTTTTAGCTAAAAAGATTGTAAACAGTAGCTTCCACACTCACTTTGCTTCTTTGATAAACTTGGTGTTACTACCGTTACATCACGGGTTCCAGTACTCTTTAATGCGGCCAAAGAGATACGGGGAGCCTAAGTTCGATACAATTTCGGACTTTTATCGCCTCGTAAAATAACAAAGATGCATCAGAACCACCCACAAATCTTACCAGACACCCTCTATAATTATACTGTCTTCTATTCTTATAACTTTAATGCTAAAAATAGGTGTCATAGGGACTTCAATAATCATAGGTATTTAATATAACTTTTATTGACTCTTCTCTAATGTATATATTCTGTAAGTGTCAGTTATTATAAATAAGTCTTAAATATTCTTACCTTAAAATGACAGACTTTGAGTTTTCTAGGAGCAGATAAACTGACAATGGCTACAAGACTACTTGAGAATAGTCTCTCCACTATGCAAATATCTTCTGTCTCAGCTGCAAATCAGAGAAAAGGTTTACATCTTTATGTCACGAATGGTACCATCCTTAAGGAAATTGGTGGAGATGGCCAATCATCAAACCTAACAACCTTTTTGTTGCAAAGGGTTCACCTGGGAAATCATGTTTCAACTTACATGCTGAGTGCTGCAGGGTTTTCCAGAAAAGACCAAACAAATCAATTTCATCAATCAATCAATCAGTCAATCACGAAATGTTCGTAAAAAAAGGAAAGATATCCTTGGTTAAAAACCAAAGCAAAGAGAGAACCCACACGGTCCAAAACCTGTGAACACTGGTGAAAAAGAAAATAACTAGCTGAGGGTGACAAGGGTCAGTGGTTTGAGACTGGCTAAAGACACGTTTTTTTCTTGTAGGTTTTATGCAAACCTGAGTACCTTAAAGGTTAGTACAGGAGCTTATTAGGGAAAACATGACTGATCAAAAGCTATCACTTTCCCACAAAGCACTCTTTTACTTGCTGTTCTTCCTCCTGGCAGCCTCAGAATGCAACACACTTGCCACTTCTTTTTAAAGCTGAAGCTTACCAGATCAATGGAATGAAAACAAACAGAACTACGTATAGGTATATCACATGGGGCCAAGTAAAATTAAGGATTAACATCACGTGTGTTTTCGGAAGTTGCTGAAATTGCCCGAGTCCCGCAGCGACGAGGGCAATTTCTGCAACTTCCGAAAACACAAGTGATATTAATCCTTAATTTTACGAGGAACCATGTAATTACTTGTTCATAATATAAGAGGCAAAATGTTTTCTTACTGATCTCGCGCAAAACGGGACGCCATTGTTACAAAACAAACAGAAATTTCTTTACCTTGGCAGCCATTGCTAAGCGATTTTCAGCCAATCATTTTCAAGTAATTTTGCTCAGGCAATTACAAAAATTAAGAAAAAATGCCCTCTGTCTTGACCAATCACAATTTGGTAATTTTGCCCCTTATATGATAAGAGGAAATATTCAAACACTATCTAATGGTAGATTGTTACTGTTTTGTGATAATGTAAAGGTACACTTCATCAGAGGTCATGTTCGATCCCAATTCATTTGATTCAATGTTGTTCAACTTGCCAGGGGAATAACAAAATAAAGTTTAATTTTATCGTATTCTACCTAAGCTGTTTACCGATAATTATCTAGATTGTGGTGGTTAAATCCTGACAAGCTGTGCGTGCGTGCAATTTTTTTTTTTTCGCAAAAGGTCATCCGCAAAGGTTTGGAGTGACCTTTTTCAAAACACAGAGACACGAGGAATAACTGAACGGTTACACAAAATTCGAGAACAAATGAGAGATCTAGTTAAAAAATCAGCTGATTGTATGTACGTGACTGCCTTGGAAGGTTTTAATTATTTTACTGCATCTCATGCAAACAAATCCATTCGGATAACATCGCTTTACAATTTGACTTAGAGCCTCTCTTAATCATGGAAATTCCAGTAAAGCTTAAACTAATAGTGGGTAATGATAATAAAACCCACCACAAAAACATAGGAGGAAAATGACGACATTGCTAACATTTACCTTGAACTCAATCTCACATTTCAATAACATTTTACTCACCATAATCGTAAATCTCCTCCAACTTTTCCACGGAATTTAAAGAGAACAATTTGTAGCCGGCCTTTGAGCCAACTGCCAGAGAACTACGTACAAAAAAGATGCAAAAACATCGACAGTCAAATTATTGTGAATTGAAGAATCGATCGCTGTACAGTTTCGGAAACGGAGCCCTTTTTTGCGTAAAGTTCTCGGCATTTTTTACCTACAGTCCTGATTAAAATTGACACAGAGTAAGTTTCCTGTTGGATCCCCGCCATAAGCAGCAAGATTCATCAGTAATACTGAAGAATTTCACTCCAGTTTTCTTGCTTTTTGTGGAAATGGCAAGTCGAATTCATAAATTATATCAACAATAACAAAACACGCTAATGACATGCGCACAGCTGATTCAGCGACTCCGTCCTACCCACAATCCAACATACTCACATTCACACGTTGCTGTAGATGTTCATATAAGTTCACTTTTTGTTTATTTTTCCTCTTAAGAAAGAGTAGAAAAACATACGTTGGAACAGTGTGCCGTACAGAAATGGAATTTTCTATCCCCAGTGCAGCTTTTTACACTGGGATGCAAACGTTAGACGCCATATTCAAGCTGACGCAACCTCACGAAGAGGGGAAACTGGGGCGAACTGAGATAATCTCTATTTTCTTTACTCGGGTTAATTTCTCGCCTACCTTTCGTACAAGGGTCAAGAGCTCTCTGGAGAACGGCGGGGCCATCTCTTTCTCCATGCCACTACACAGCGATAATGGCCTCTGTTGAAGTCAAAATACCCCTTCCCCCTGCAGAAACACACACACAAACAAAGGGCCAGCCGTGGGAGCTGACCAAAGCGACGACGTACCTGCTCCTTGAGTGCGTCTCCTTAAAGGTGGTAAGGCGACACACAAGCCACTTCTGGGCATGAACGCAGCTATCTCAGAGAACGGCGAGAGGATTTCTATTTAAACGATCGACAATATTCCTAATAAGTTTACACTTATTCGAAAGCTTTGTCATACTGCTAGATTGCGATGATTCTTAAGTGTTGCGTCGAAAGTGAGGTCGATAGCTTCTCTGCGGGATTAACCCTACCCATACATACGAGGCGGCTTGCTTTCTCCTCAGCCAACCAAACATTTTTTGAGAAAGATGTTCTTTTTCGTCCTGTCACGAACTTGGGACAAGGAAAAAATTCTCATTGCCTGAGAAAAATTCGACCCTCCGTCCCCCAGCTTCCGCGCCCCCATGCTCTACCTCTGAATCGGAGAGATTATATGGCGCGCTGTGCCGCAATCAAGTTCATGTTTAACTAACTTTCCGCACACTGCTAAGAGCAGCAATGTGAAAAGCGTCATGTGTGTAAACAGGACAGAAAGATGGTAAATGTTTAATTTGGTCAGTAGTTTTTTTTTTTTTTTCGTCACAAGCTTACAGAAAGGAGACTAAAATGAGAAACATTAGCCAAATCTCATTTATTCGATTTTTTTTTTTCACTTAGAAGAAAAAAATAAAACACTTTAGAAATATACATCGCAACCAGGCAATCTTCATAACAGTTGAACACTCTATGACCAAATATTCACCTTGGATGAATTCTTACCAAATGTCAGTTAGTTACACTAATGAGTGTGTTACAACGATTTATGTTAGCAGGCAATAGAATCAAGCGAGTTACGTTAACAAACTTCTCATTTCTTACATTTCTTAAAACACAGTTTCAGAACGCTTACAGCGCAATTTACGATTAAGCGTCGCAAAACCAAAGCAATCACACCGGTCAATCGGTGGAAAGGACAATTCCATAGGCAGGCAATGTTAACTTTAAGCAAATGCAGGCAACTGGTCTCAAGCGCGAGACAGCGACAACCCGTGTAACAGTTAACACAGCAGTCAAATGTCAGGCATGCACGAGATAATCAATCCTGACTGGCTGCGCGCCCATTTCCCGCGCAAAATATCATTAAAGAAGAACACAAAAAACAATCATAGTATTGAAAATTGAAAAAAATTGAAAACTGTAGAGGGAAACAAAAATAGGGGAAAAGAAAACGAAAGACTTTTCACAAACAAAGCTTAATCAAGGACGGGTATACAGTAGACTTACCAGTCTGTTTTGAGCTTTGCAAACAATTTTATACGCTTTTAAAACTCCACGACTTACTGGTTTGCTTGTGTGTGTGTGTGTGTGTGTGTGTGTGTGTTTGTAACTCGCGTGAGACAACTTGGTTCTGACAGCGTTTGCACATGTACAGACGTTTGACCGCTGTATTGCAACGTGTGCGGATTGATGCGAGTTTCGCATTTGATCCATTAATAGCAATCCCATAATGCAATGAAATTAATTAAATCCCATGAAATCAATAAAATGCAACCTCGGGTTACTTTCGATTCCCAATTGAAATTGCACTGTGTGAACACGGATTACTTAAGTGATCTCCTGGATCCTTTGGTGATTTCCTGATTTTTAACAAGATGCTTCGATCCCAACTGTCCACGTCTTCAGATAGTTCTTAATCATATAATTCTTCTATTTGCGATTAGTATAATTTCAGAGCTGAGCAAAGAGTTTCCAGCAATCTGATTGGTCGAGCGGTTCCTTATAAACCGCTCCACGCGGTTTATATAAAATGTTAAAATAAAATGTTAATAAATGTTACTAAATTTCTCTGTTGTTCAGCTCTGAAATTATACTAAAACAATTATTCGCCTCAGGTTCGGTGAATATTGTCGAATAATCCCCTCCACTTCGTCTCGGGGATTATTCGACGATATTCACTTCGCCTTCGACGACTAATTGTTAAATATTAACAAATCACAAGGACCGTCGTCTGGTGCGTTTCACTGTTCCAATGCAATTTCCTCCACATGGCTGCTAGCGGAACACGATAGTGAAGCTTAAAATAGACTCGGATATACAAAAACCACAACTGGCATGATATCAAATCTTATCTGCGATATAAATTGTCTCTTTGTTCAACACTTTGGTTTTATATGATGAGTGTTTGGACAAAATAAAAGTGCTTTAGGCTCCACTTAGTTAGCGACACTCGATTTCGCAAGTTCTTCTTCAGGGTTTGTTTTAATTCTCCAATTCATCAGGCTGTATATTCATTCTGTTTAAGATAACAGCTTCAGAACCTTTCCGATAGCGATGGTTTTGCCTGAAAGTAAATGAGAATAGCCAAATAAAATCTTGCTTTAATAACTGAAAAAATTAATAAATGAATAAATAAATAAATAAATGAGCAGATAATAGAATGAATGAATTAAAAATCTATGCCACGATAAATGAACCAATTAAAACTCTCCAACTACACAATAACCCTCTAAAATTTACCACGCTCCTAACGTGTGTCTTCATAGGTCAGTTGGTAGTGGCGCCCAAGTAGTATCTGGAAGCCACGGGTTCGAATCCCGTCGAAGCCTGAATTGCTTCCCGCTTCTTGCTGAGACGACAATTGCTGAGAACTCATCCGCGAAGATCATTGCTTTACTTGATGTACAATACATTGTTGAACAGTAAAAATTCCATACAAATGCGATATCGCAGTTACCTTCATCTCTAAGTGTAAATCTTCCCATTTGTTGAAAGTCGGCAAACTTTTCGATGCACACAACTCCTGATGTTTGAAGCTGCGCTATGGCCACTTGGTCTTGTTTGATAAATCTTGGTCTCCCCTTCTGTCTCTTTCCTGTCTTTCTGTCAATTAACGCTATTAAAATCTATAAAAAAATAAGTTTATAACAAAAGTAATCAGAAGAAAGGAATATCGCTGTAACCAACAGGTTCTTTACTGCGGTTTGAAAGATCAAATTGGCTGCTTTGTGCATTACAAGCTTTCTTAGGATAAGGAAATGAACCTAAAAGCTTCTAAAAATAATTCCTTTTAGAGGTCCTCCTAAGAGGAGCTGGTTAACGTGAAAAGCAATTTTGGAGGCCTCAGCTCCCACCGAATATGTTTGGAAAACCATTCTCCGCTACCAACAGAGAAATTTTTCGTATGAAAAATCCTCACTTTGGTAAAAAAAAATTGAAAATATGGAAACAGTTCTTGATTACAGAGAGGCACACCAAAAGAAATTTAAAAATCAAAACAGATGTACACATAACTTACCTGGAAAGTGACTTCTTCTATGACATTGTGAATATGTAAAACAGCACTATACCCAGCACAGATGATAGACTTGTGTTCAAGAATAACAACCTAAATATGAAGCAAACAGATGGATGCAAACAAAAATAAAACTCCATTCCAAGGAAGACCCTACAGAAATCCACTTCTCTTTCCCAAGCTTTCTGCATACCCAACCATTATTATCAAAGCATATCATTACTGTAAAACTTGGCATCCTGGTTTCATTGCAATGGGTTCCCCAAAAAAATGTTTCCCAGGGTTGTCTTAGTCCCCTATCCCCCTCCCCTCCCCTCCCCTCACACAAAAAAATGTTCAAAATGTGAACAGAATGAGAGGATCTATCAGAGTTGAGTGCCTCAATCAAAAATTCAACACAAATTATCCCCGATGGCCCTCAACCTAGTCCAGCATGCAGACTGTTGGATCAATGAGGAATTCACAATGAAGAATAGAATAAACCCCACAATAACAATGATAAAAACACATTGTAGCACACCTGAGCTTCAAATGTTTTAACAGTGTGGCATAAGTTGTCTGGTGCACAGAGGACAAATCCTGGAGAGACATCCTACAAAGCAAAAAGTTTCAATGTCAACTGTGAGAGGCAAACGCACCATCAAGCTCACCAGTTTAAATGGTTCTTTTGGAAACGATTCTCACTCTTGAGGGACCTGGTATTGCAGACAGTCAGGTGATTGCAAGGATGAGTGAAAGAAGGCTAAAAGTTTCTAAAGAAACTGTGGTGCTGCGTCGGTGAGGGCAACAATGTAATTTGGTTATATCAACTCGGTTGAAATATGTAAATTGGCCACCGTAACGAATAATAAAGCTGATGTTTCGAGCGTTAGCCCTTCATCAGAGCGAATGGAGGAATTGTGGGTTGTATGTGTTTTTATATGTAGAAGCGGATGTACGTCATTAGTGAGAACATAGCAACGAGAAAAACACGAATAAATTAGTGGAATGAAAAGCGTTCGTTGATACCTGTGGGATTAAGAGTGCCGATTTGAAAGATTAACTTTTGTTCAAGAGTTTTGCTGCTTTCCATGTTGCCTAATTGTAAGGAAAGACCGCAGATTGCCATATGTTGCTTGGAATGATTAGGTAAATTTAAGTGCCTAGTGACTGGTTTTGATGCGTCCTTGTGATTCCTCTCTACGTCGCGAAGTTGTTCTCGTAATCGGTCACCTAGTCGTCTTCCTGTTTCGCCGATGTATAACTTTTTGCAATACGTGCAAGTTATGCAATAGATTACGTTGGCGGAGATACACGTGAAGTGATCGGTGATCTTAATGGATCGCTTGGGTCCCGATGTTTTCTCAGCGTTGAGAGTGAAGGGACAAGTTTTGCATCGTGCGCAAGCGCGTTTAAAAGTGCCAGGTTGGTCATTAGTTTGGAACGAACTTCTGACCAAAAAATTGCCTATGTTTTTGTCGCGTTTGAATAAAATAAGCGGAGGTTGCGAAAAGATAGTGCCAGTCTCTGGATCGCTTTGAAGTAATTTAAAGTTTTTAAGAATAATAGATTTGACTGTGTGGTTGTGAGGGTGAAACGTGAGAGTGAAGGGAATGCGGTCGGAATTTACCTTCTGGACGTTTGCAGTGCTGACTGTCGATCAGTAAGTTGGGCGCGGTGGTGACCCGCTTGAACGACAGAAACAGGGTAACCACGTTTTTCGAAAAACAATGTGCCAGTTTCATATTAAAGACTGAGGACAATTATGAGGCTCGTCTAAAGAAGTTAAATTTGATGTCATTAGAAAATAGAAGATTTTTAGCTGACGTAACATTTTTATATAAACCCCTCAATGGAATTATTGACATTAATATTGACTCTTATGTTGATTTTTATTCGGATGCTGACCATTATTCATTTGGGAAATATGATAATTTATCTTTAAAGAAGAAATACGCAAGAACAAATCCTCTCAAATATAGTTTTTTTTCACAGGATAGTTGATTCCTGGAATAATTTGCCCTTTGATACTCGTAGAGCAGCAAGTGTAAATATTTTTAAGGCAGGAGTTAAGAAGTATTTAGTGGATAATATATCTAATTAATTCC